TAAGTATCCAGCTAGGTATCTTTTATTCAGGATGACTTCTGTCTGTTTAGATAACCCCTTCATTTTTGAAGCAGTGACTTTACCTATTCCGGCTGCACTCGGGCAGCCAGAGCAAACATCCTCACCATTAAGAGCAGCAAAGAGGTGACTGGGCTTGCCTGTCCCTCCTACAGCTTGCAGCCACGTTTTCACAGGCACTGCCTGTCACGCAATGGCAATTTCACCTGCCAAGCTCTGCATACGAACACATACAGCCCCAGCTGCTGTGTTACCACCCTCAGCAGGACGCAAAATCATGGGACAGTTCCACAGTTGTACTTCCCATCCTTTACCCTTTTCCTGCAGAAGGGTGCTTGTAGGATTTCAGCTTTGGTTTGTAGGGCACATGGGAGTCCTACACTGCTGTCTAGGCCTGCACAGCCCTTCAAACCCCCTTCCTAAGTAGGGCGCTCAGTTACAGCTCGCCTAAATAGGTTTGTATGTTAAGGCCACTGAGATTTTCAGCGTGGTTTTGGGAAGGCATAGACCCGGATCCACAGAGCTGCACAGGAACCCAGCTCCCACTGTCTTGAAACACCAGCTAGGTAGCAAAACACTTCTGGGTACTTATTGTCTATCCACCCTAGCAGGCAGTGCTGCACACTGCTCAGGGTGGTACAAGCCAGGCACTTGCAGAAAACATAAGGCAGTAAGAAATGGGCTCTTTTCGTTTATCAGGCAACCTAGGAGCTGAGAGGCATCAGCCACCCTCAACTCTTGGCTTTGGGGTGGCAGCACTTTTTAAGGGGGCGGGAATGGCAAATATGAAGTCCTCCCCAGAGGACTTTTTTCTCCCTTAAGCTTCTGCTCCTTCAAAAGCTCACTATCTCCAGACACCTACAGCTGTGGATAATTTGCATGCATACATCCCAAGCACTGTCATTCCTAAACCCGCAGTTACTTAACAAACATAAAGACAGCAACAACCGCTCAAAGAGAAAACCAGGTGGCCCTTGAATCCCCAATATGTTCAGCCTTTCTAGTCCGGCTAAGCAGAGCGACAGCTTGAGCAAAGCAGAGCAGCAGGCTGTGCCCAGCCCCTGTGCTGGGGTCCCCCATCCTTCAACAGACGCCGGGTAGAACAGCAAGTTAAGCAGCAGTGAAAATGACAGCAGTTTAATAAGATGATCAAACACCGGGAAGCCTTTCAAACCCATGAAGTCATTAGCAGGACTACTTTGCGCAACAACTTCTCCCCTCCCGCTGTCAGTTAAATCAAGTAAGTGGCTTCACTGACCTGACCAGCTGTGTCACAGAGCTGAAGTCTCACCGGCTTGCCATCGACAGACACGACAGCTTTGGAAAGAAAGGAAGAGGGAGGGGGGAAAAGTGTGGTGAGTCGAATTTTACACGTTTTCCGTTAAAGAAAAAGGAAGAAAAGAAGGTTTACCATCCCTCAGCTCTTACAGTCTTCAATTAGTTTAGATTTAACAACTGAGCAGAGCTGGGAGTCCATCGCTAACACTTGGGCATACACAAGCCTTCAGGGCTTTCCGATTCATTTCCCTGCAAGCAGAGCACTAACCCTCAGCGACGGCAGGAGAGCGAGCCCAGCCGTACGGGTCTTTCTTCCACCACAAAGGGTTTAGTCTAGTTAGTTTATATCATATTGTACACCTTCAACACGCCCGGGACACATCGCCACCCCCAGCGCTGAGCCAAAGGCAAACCCCTGAACCCCCCCCTTTGTAATGGGGCGACACAAGACAAGTATGTAAACCTTCCCTTTAGGCGCTTCCCATCTAGCCGAGAGCTGGGAGTTTTACACCGGAGCGTACACAGTTAAAGCCCGACTTTGGCCTCACTGCCGAGAGCAACACCAGCTGCCAGCCCGGCCCCGTTACACTGAGATCTGCCGATGCTGCTCCCTGAAACGGAGCTCTTAACACGCTCCGGTCCTGCCCCAAATAACTAACTAAGCTGGACATCCCCCCACCCCCCAAGCAGCCCCGTCACGGCCCCGAGGAAGGCACAGCCAGGACGTGCCGCTCCCCGCAGCGGCAGCACCCCCTCCCAACGTCCCGGTCCCCCCACGGCCGCCGCCGGCGCTTACCGGAGAAGTTGTCGAAGGCGGTGGGGATGTACTCGGTGGGGTACCCGTTGGTGGTGTAGCTCACCACCAGGCTCGTCTTCCCCACAGCGCCGTCCCCCACCAGCACGCACTTGATGCTGCGCCGTGGCTCGGCCCCCGCTCCGGCCCCAGCTCCGACCCCGGCGGCGGCTCCGGCTCCCGTCACCCGGCAGCGGCCACCCAGCGCTGCCCCCAGCGCCGCCGCCGCCCGGCCGCTGCGCACCCTGCGCGGGGGCACCGGCGGCACCTCGCAGCCGCCCGGCACCGGTTTGGTGATGTAGCCCGCCTCGCCCTCCTGCTGCGGCGGCATCCGCGCGGCGACGCAGAGCCCCGCCGGCCGGGGGGCGGTGCGCGGCCCGGGGCCGCCGGCCGAGGGACGGCGGGGAGCAGCGGCGGCGGGCGTGCGGTGCGGGGTCCCGGCGGGCCGGCAGGCGCGGCGCGACCGCCGCGAAGCCAGCCCCGACGCCGCTGGTTCTCCCCGTGCGCAGGCGGTGGCTCCCGGAGCAGTCGGTGGCGGGATCCCGGCTGCACTGCGCTCGCCTCGCCCCGCGCTACCAAGTCCAAACCGCCAGCCCCGCGCCTCCGCGTGACATACCGCTGCGCGGGGAGGAGCCGGCGCCGCCCGGCACGGCACTACACTGCACGGCAAGGCACGGCACCGCCCGGCAGGCGGCGCCACAGTGCTCAGCACCGCCCGCACCGATGGCAGCGGACAGGCGGGCAGGGGGCGAGCCCGCAGTGAGGCGCTCTCCTCATTGGCTCCCTCACCCCGCCGCGCAGCGCTATTGGCTGTTGGGACAGGGGCGCGCCCGGCCTCTTCCCTCCTGCCGCTGGGGTCTGCGCCCGCTCCTGTCAGGCCCCTCTGCCGGTGACCGCGTTCTGCCCACGCCGCCCTGCGGGAGCAGCGGGACTACGGAGGGTCCACCGCTTTACCGGGGTGCTGCGGGCCGGGGGGTTGCCTGAGGGACCGAAGGCTGCCCCCGGTACGGCTGGGCGGCCGCGCTCCGGGGCGAGCCACCCCTCGCTGCCTGCGGAGTGCTGGGGGGCTGTACCCCTCGCCCGCGTGGAAAGCAGTACTCTTTCTGCTATGTACCCAGCAGTGTTCTACGCGGTGAATCTCTCACCTGCAGCCTGGGAAGGGATAAACTGGGCCCTGTGCTGTGGGAAAGGTGGAACTATATTAAAAGTATATATATATATATACTAAAAGCACCGTTGAAATAAGTTAGACATGGAAAATTTTTTGAGGTTGAACACAGGAAATGAAAAGGTGCTGAAAAGACTAGCTCTGCCCTAAATTGGAAACATTATTAACACATTTCTTCTGGGGCCCTTAACAGTACTGTGCAAACATGAACAGTGCCACCTGGAACACCTGAGATGTAGATGTTGATATCCTCATTTTGCAGACAGCAAGCACAGGCATCTTAACTTACCCAAAGCAGTGCTGATAACTCTGTGGCAGAGTCGAGATTTCGGTTTACCATTTTCAGCGTCACTGAGTCCCTGGTGCGATCTGGAGTACAGTTTCCCCATTTCCCTTGCTGATCTGGAAACCCACATGATGCTGCTAGTTTCGTACCCACAGCATGTGGCACCCGCTACACATCATGCGCCAACAGCCTGTCCCATGCTCACAGGAAAAGATGGAAAGGTCAGGCCTATGGAGCTTATGGTCTTCCTGCTTCTATAAAACCTGGGGCCCTGTGGTCTGACCACCAAAGACCCTACCAAGGCTCATGCCTCTTGGAAATAAGCACTCAGTACAGCTGATCTTGCTTTCCTATGTGCCCTGCTCTCTCCTATGGGAACAGCCACTGTGGCTCACCATGACAACACTGCACTTCAAAGCAGGGCCAGAGCCAAGGTCCTCCCTGTCTGAAGGTAGATGAGAAGACCCCAGGTTAGATGCTTTGTGCACACAGTTGGAGGGCTGGGGAAGAAAAAGCTCTTGATCCCTGTGCCGGGGTGTCAGCATGTACCCACTCCCTGCAAGGAGCACAGCAGCCAACAGAGCACAGGGGCTCAGTGTGACCCTCATGCTCAAGACCCTTAGGAACTTCTGACCCTCCTGTGAGACTCCCCAGTCCTGTAGAATTACCTTCCCCTCAAAGAATGTCCTGGTTTCAGCTGGGATAGGGTGCTGTCAGGTATGGGCGCTAGTGCCAGAGAGAGACATCACAGGGCACCCGCTACAAGCAAGAGGCGTTTCTCCATCGGGTGCTTTCATACGCTGACCCCTCTGTGATGAAGTCTGAGAAGAGGCAATGACCCAGGCAGCTGAGCTTTGCCAGGCTTGACAGCCAGAAGGGATGGAGCAGGAGCCCGCCTGTGCTCAGGCATGTACTAAAATAACAGAAATGGCTTAATTCATACCTTTGGTTATTTTTGGTGCAAGTCCTCGTGGCCTAGGTTAGAACAAAAGCACTCTATTTTAATTTAGTGTAATTATAGCCTGTCTACCTACAAAAGCTGAATTGCTTTAACAATGCTGTTGCAGCTAACTCCCCAGAGTATGGGTGCAGTTGTGCCGGGATAATGCTAATATGGCTTATTCTTGTTGGGAAAGGGGAAAACATTACGTGTGTAGGTGCAGGCTCACTTTGCACCCAGCTGCAGCTGTTAGAAACGTTATCACCACAGCAGCCCGTTGCTTGTTTCTGGGGTTCTGCCTCCATAGCACAGCCCTAAAGGCTACGTGCTCCACAGCCACCTGGTTGCAAAGTCACCGTATTTAATTCAGTATTAGGCAGCTTCAGCCCAGCAGATGTTTCACTGAGAGGGGTGAGAAGCCTTTGTGTGGCTGCTCTGCTGTAATGGGTGAGGGAGCTCAGAACTACCCATAGTGTGGTAACATCTTGGAATGGCGATGCTGTTTCAACAGTGAGCTACACAGCTTAATGTAGGAGTGATAGAGGTAATAAATCACATCCCTGATTGAAATCAAGTCCTGATCCCAGTACCAAAAATTGTTATGGGTCCTTCTTTCGCTTCACCTAAGCCAAGAGGAAAATGGGTGAATTGCACAGAGACTCGTGTCCCTTCTGAACTGAAAACAAATTGCTTCAGTGAAAGTTTGAAGGTAGCCAGGATCTGCACAAGACAAGGAATAACATATTCAGTCATTTCTGAAGAACTTCATGGAGCGTGGAGACTAGATGCTGTTATGTCTGATACATTTGGTCCCTACTGCTCTGTGCAGGGGGCAAAGCCACACTTGTCGTCCAGTCTCATTTTTATTTTGCATGGTTCTGAGTGTATGCACAGCTGCAGCTCTACACAAGACAAGGCAATACTAACAAAAGGCACATATAACAGGAAAAGGCATGGCTTTTAAGACTCTAATTCCCTCTGAGAGTTGATTTTTCAGGTTCTAAGCAGCATCCAAGAAAGACGTCTCACATACACATGAGCTTTGATAGAAAGGCCTGTTCTACCTGAGGAACAGAGCTGTCAAGAGGAGTCTTCATCTCCATGCCCAGATGCTTGTTACTCTTCTCCTGCCAGTCCCCAGCAGTCAATAGTTTTCCATCTCTAGAAATCCAGAGGAATTTTCCACCTTGGGGAGCAAGAAACTGGAGAAAAGTCAATACACCAGAGTAGGTTCATACCACGTTTATGCAAGGAAAGAAATAAAAATAGTACTAAAATTATAACTATATTTTACTCTCAGCAGCATCCCATAAATCATATACCTCATTATTACTGTGGAATGGCATGTGATGCTGGAAATCAGCATACAGTAAATGAGGGTGATACTGTATGCTGGTCAGCTTTGGCCGTCTTGGACACTGCGTCAGGGCATGCTGAAGTCATGTCAGCAAATGAATTTCTATCTGTTTTGGACAGTGTGCCAAATGAAGGTGAGCAGATGTACTGTGATCTCTGATTCCAGGGTGGAATATGACCCAAAAGAGGAGGGCACAAAGGTGCCTGAGCATTGTCACCTCTTATCCACAGTGACAAATGGCAAATCCACTGTCTGTATCAATGCTACAATGAGAACTCCTCTTGTAGGGGACCTACAAGGATGCTGGAGAGAGACTTTTCACTAGGGACTGTAGTGATAGGACAAGGGGTAATGGGTTCAAACATAAACAGGGGAAGTTTAGATTGGATATAAGGAGGAAGTTATTTACTGTAAGGGTGGTGAGGCACTGGAATGGGTTGCCCAGGGAAGTTGTGAATGCTCCATCCTGGGCAGTGTTCAAGGCCAGGTTGGACAGAGCCTTGGGTGACATGGTTTAGTGTGAGGTGTCCCTGCCCATGGCAGGGGGGTTGGAACTTGATGATCTTAAGGTCCTTTCCAACCCTAACTGTTCTATGATTCTATGATTCTAACTCAGTGAGAGAAAAGATGCACAACAACAAGGAAACTCCTGTAGGTGGGAGATGAGAAGGCGGGCAATATGCCCTGGGTGACAATCCATTTGAACAGCTTCAAAAGATGATGTGAGAAAGCTCTTCATGCAAATGTTGTGAGCAAAAAATGCCACATGCACATTTTTAAACACCTTCAGTAGACAAACACAGCCAATGCATTGAGCTAAGTAGGCTCCACCAAGATAGCTATAACGGTCTGCATTGTCTGTGCTGGGGAGGGGGGCGTGAGTGGATTCAGAGCTGCATGGTTGCCCTATACTGTAATGTACCCTATCAAATACAGTAGCCTTTTGTGTAAGAGGATGAGCTAACTGGTTGTTTTGCAGGAGGGGGGCCCATTTACACCACAGCGGCAAGTCAGAGCAGCTCCCGGGCAGGCGTGCTGGTGGTGGGCTGAGGGGGCATTGGTGGAGGGATGCTGTAACAGATAGCCGCTGTCTCCAACGCTTTTGGCCTCAACCCTATCACACACACACATCTTACAGGTTTAACCCAATTGTTTTCAGAGCTCTAAGCTGGGGGATAAACAGGCTTAACTCCACGTAGGTCAACAGGGTAGCAGTTGTCTGTCTCAGGGCTGAATCTGTCGCATTATCAGGCAGTTCACAGAAAAGCTCCTGCTCTATCTTACATGCTTCGAGTTTAACACATTAGTTAAATATTATGCTTCGAGAAAAATGACAGAGAGAGGAAATCATTTTATCAAGACGTGAAGCAGGTCATTGTTACATCCTACCTTATCGTTGTCCCTGTGATATAGCAAATATGAACTGGATGCTGGCCTTGTAGAATGAAAGCCTTTTTTCTTGCAGAAACTTGAAAAGCCTGACACGGAGAGAGGCGAGGGAGTGAGGCGGTGTGGTCCGAGCATGACGTGATGCACTGCTGCTTGTTCCAGGGAAGGGTACAGCCTGCTCTGCAGGGCTGTCACCAAGATCCTGTTCTTTGTCAGAACAAAACCATCTGTGATGCACCCCTTAGTTTTCCGAAGAGCAGGATCAAGCTGAGCTGGCCCGGGCAGGGGAGGTGGGGAGAAAAGAAAGGGGAAGCAGGAGGGAGCAAAGAAAGGGCAACAACCTGGGAAAGAAAAGGCAGCTTTTATGAAGCGTGGCTTTGACCTGTTCTGACTCAAGAGAAGTGCTTTTGAGGCTGTTCTTTGAGAACTAGGGGAGGAAGGGCTAGGGAAGTACAAGATACTGCTGCTTTTACTCTCTCTATATATATTTCCCAGGGCTTGCTTTTAAAGAACATTTTAACCACCCAAGATATCATCTCAGGGAAGTTTTCACTACCTGGGGAAAGGGATTAGTGAGTGCCACGCATTAACACAATAAACTCTCACCACCCCTCCAGCTAAGCTCTGATTGAGAAGAGACAAGCAAAAATTCACAGGCAAAAAGGATTGTTGAGATCAACCTGAAAAAAAAACCCCAAAATAAAATAAAGCACAATTGCTTCAAGCTTCACAGATTCCTTGTTAATTCAGAAAACAAATTAACCCTAACCTCCTATCTGTAGTGCCTCTGCAGGGGAACCACTGTGGGAGGTGAGCCCTTTATCTCTCTTTCAAAATCCTTTTCAGCTGATCTGGGGTCACAGCTGCTGAAAAGGACACTGAACAGCCACATAAACCTGAACGGTATCATACGGTGCTTGTAAAATATGCCCAGATTGGGCTGAAATGGTCACCTGAAAGGGTAAACAGAGATCAATACTTTCTGGAGAGCTCCATCATCACCAGCTGCCCCCAGGGGCACCTCTTGCTGGGCCTTATGTGTCCTTACATGAGCCCATGTTTCATGGGGGGTGAGAGCAGTTTGCTAACGGGGTACTTCTGTCAACAGTGCTGGGAGGTGAGGGGCACAGTGAGACCCATCTGCTCTGCAGGGATGCTCCCACACTCGCTTCTGCGCTCACCCTCTCCAGTGAAGCTTGTCCAGCCAATGGACCCGTGCTGACCTGTCTCCACGGACACTTTGACCCATGCATTTTTAGTTGGTTACTCCAAGTCTGAAAAACAACGATTGGTCCCAGTGTTATCTCCTTTGGAGCCAGCCGCTTCCTCTTGGTATCAAACTTGGAAGAACCCCATGGCCACTGCTGAAAAGCCTTTTCCCTTTCCACATTTAAAGATCTTTTCTGAAAGCAGTTGCTAGGTGGGGATTAAAAGGCTTGGAAGAAGCCAGCACAAGTGCCAGTTTTACTGAAAGCGAGCAGGCTGTTCTTCCCTGATAGGTGCCCGACTTTGAGGGAACGCATCAGAGGACAGCACCCACAGCTGTCTCTGGGATAGCTTAGCAGAGGGGGAAAAGCCGTGTCTCTTTCTGTGCTGCTTGGTAACACAAAGACAGGAAAGCACAGAACACAGCGCACTTGGTGCAGAGCAAACCCTGCTGTCCAGATCTGCATTGTTCTGGCTCAGCATCTATTTATATAAATACTGGCTCCAGTGTTTGGCCTGGAGGCTCCCAGTTACCTCCCTGATCCCCGGCTTAGCTGAGCCAGCTCAGCACTGAGTCCAGCCACCTCCCTGGCCCTGGCAGCTGCAGCTCCAGAGGAGCAGGTACTTCTCAGCTTGCTGTGCTTCACCCCACCAGAAATCTGCTTTGGGACAGGAACTGTAAGCAGGTTTGGGATGCTGAAAAGCAGCTACCCAGACATTACGCTTCTCTTCTTTTTCAGGGACAGGATGAAAACCTTCAATTCCCAGGTTTTCAGGCCAGAACTTTTCAGCCACAATAGGTTTGCATAATCAGACATTGAAGACAGTCACTCTGTAAGTTACTTTTTGCTTTTCAAGTGTCCCATCTCTACCTGTGAGTCCCTTGCTCACTATTTTGTTAGCAGCCAGAGTGTCGCCTGGCCAGCATAAAAGGCTGGCCTCAGGAAATTGCCATTCTAGTCCCAGCTTTCCTGCTCACACACCTTCCTCTGCCTGAGGATTGAGCTGGATTTAGAAAGAAAGAGTTGCCAGAATGGTCTTACCAGCACAGCTCTACAAGGCAAACCCTCACAGGGTAGTTTACTTTCACCCATCACTGTTTTGACCAGCCTGGCTTAAACCAGTTTTCTGAACAGAATGAGATTCCAAGGGCTCCTTTGTTGGGTAACCTTGGCAGGCTGATGTCCTCTCTTAGCTGGGGAGAGAGCAGGCAGAATTCATGTGCCTGAAAACTGCTTTACAGGACAGCTTCTGTTGAGTGAAAACAGCCTCAGTTTACCAGGGTATGAAAAGATACTTCTTGTATGTCTTGAAGTCCTCAGATTAAAGATGTGAGCAAGGGCAAAGAATTACTGGTAGATTCTGGCTTCAAACCTCCTTCTCCTGCTGTTTTATGGTTTTTCCATACCTTTGAGAGAGAGTGCTAGAGCAAGAAGGACCAAAATGCTGAACCTGCCCTGGCTCCAGCGGTTCAGAAGAGGGGTTTCAATGGAGAAGTGACAGAGGGGCTTCGAGCTCCAGCCTCTGTTAGCTGTAAATACAAACCACTAAAAGGCACCGGAGCTTTCCCACTGCAGTAAAGGCATTGGGAGCAGGAGATTAATAGGTTGCCAGCTGTGTCGGAATGATAAGCCAAGCAAGGACCCAGACGCTTTCAGTCGAAAGTGGATTGAGACCTCAGCAGGAACACATGGCAAGTCAGCCAGGAGCCACACATGGAAAACTGAGCGAGGCAGCACAGGCAAACATTTCTTATCTTCGCTTTACGTCAATAGAAATGGCATTGTAAAAGAGGCAGCAAAGTATTTGCTGGAGAGGAGGAGGGAAAAGTCCTCAAGGTTTTTTGGCTGTAGGTGTGGGTTTTAAGAAGCTACTGTTTTTCTCAGAAACTTGTCATTGAAAATGAACAGGGAAAGATCACTGAGTGAGTTTCTCCAGAAGGTTGCTTCTTTCGGGCTGTGCTGGCAGGAGTGCTGCCTGCCACTGCTGTTGCACTCACAACACAGCTGGGGAAGTACAAGCTCTTAAACCAGCCCCAAACACAGCTGCAATAATTACCCTGTCTACTCTGATTTGCCACAAAATGGGACTCGGGGGAGAGGTAGACCTCAGAAATGTGGGGCTGTCTGCAAGGTGATGTCCTTCGCAGCCGTCTTCTCCCCACTGCTGCTGCTCTACCAGCAGCCCGCCCCAATTACCTCTATTGGCTTTTGCTTTGCTTTCTGGTTTTATTATGTTCCTTAAAGCTAATTAACAGAAGAGTGGATAAGGCCCAGATTTCTTGTATGGATTTTTTGGTGGTGGTGGTGGTACTTTTCATTTTGCTGAGTTTTCTTTTTGCTTTTAAGCTGTTTTGATAATGCAAGAAAAAACACCTTTCCTACCAGAATCAGTACTGAGCAAGGAGAAGACTCAGCAATGAGAACGAGAAAGGCCATGAGTGGCTCTCATCTCCTCGGTGGGGTCCAATGTTGCAGCCCCATTGCATGCAGGTAATGAGCCCTCGCTGCACCCTCTGCTGTCAGCACTCCAAAGCAGGGAAAGGCACAACATGTTCCCACCACGAAGGACGTGTGCAGGTGTCAGTGAGAGGTGAGTCAGGAAGAACAAAAGGCTGGGATAAATACAGGTGAAGCCTCCCAGCCTGGATCCATATGGCCCCTGGATCTGCTCCTCCCCAGCAGAGCCTTGGGCTGGCCACTGGCCATAGCAAAGCTTGTCACTGGGTGATGGCCAAGGGTGGGTTCATTGCAGCTGCATGGCTTGGGGCAGGGTAACCTGTCACCTCACCATCAGGGAGCTGTGGCTTCCAACACCTCCCTCCTCCTGCCACAGATCCTCACCCCAGGTGCACAAGGCTCCACAGGGATGTTAAATTTGTGCCTGGGAGCTGGCCATGGAAAGCTGAAGGTGCTCTGCCAAAAGGCCCACTTGTGACTGTTCAGGTATGAAAATAATGATTCTGGTTATAAAAACATTGATCTCAAAATAGGGTTGTAGGTGAAACAGTTCATTTTCATACAATGCCTTAATTAGTGAACACAGATTCTCTGTGTTAGCAGTCCCTGACACCATGGTGATGGACATGATCCAAGAGCAGATGACGCTGTGGCTGAAAGACGGATCATCTCACTGCTAGCGCAGGCATGGGGAAAACAAACATGGAAAACTTATGCTGAACTGTTTTCTGTTTTTCTCAGCAGAGGAACTTCAGGCAATGCAGATCTAAAGCATGGAGCACCCTCTGCTCTTCCAAACCAATTTTCTCTGCAGAAACTCTCTGTATGGATTTCATACGTGGCCTCTGAGAGGCCCCAAAGACTCATATGTCCAGTACGTCAAAGCACATGGGGAGAAAGAGCCAGGTCTCTGCCTAAGCTCCTGCAAATCCCTAAGGGTCAAGTTAAGTGCAAGCCTGACGGTGTTCTCAGGACCAGACTTGCCCAGCACGTGCTTTAAGTCACCCAGCCTTATCAGGCTGGGATTCATCTCAGTTGCAGAGCTCAGAGGAGGTGGCCACATCCCACACTGCATGGCCCCAAGAAGCTCAGCATTTGCACCAGACCTGGGGCACATCTCCTTGCCTGGCTCATCCTCATCAGCCCAGGGGGCTTCAAGCAGTGAGGCTGAGGCAGAAGGTTGGGAAACAAGCAGGCTGTGGGACCTGAAGGCTTCTCTGGAGCCACATTGCCCTTTCAGTGTTCCCACGGGTCTGTTTTGCCCCTCAGACCCAGGGGCTGAGCAGCACTTCCTCACCCCACAGGGATGCAGGAATGAGTAAATCCATTAAAAGCCATGCAGGGTCAAGGCTACAGCTACATAAATTAATCCGACAGGCTAAGGAACGTTCACAGCCCCTGATGCATCCATTGGTGTGCCCAGCCATCCCCAGAGGGACAAGCCCTTGTCTCCCTGGAGCAGGACAGCTGTGCCCAGACTGCCTGCTGGGAACTCTCCATTGCCCACCCCAGCTCCTGAAATTTGCCTCAGCGTCATCTGCAGGAATATTTGCTTGGTCTGGGACAAACTCATGCAAGGACAATGCCAGCCATTTAACTGTATGGGCAACCACCTGGGCCTGCTCCCTGCCTCCGTGTTGTTTATGAGTTTATTAGTACCTTGCTGCTAGCCTGCACTGGTATAGACAGAGAGCCTGTCATTAACAAGGGCAGTAAAGCACCTAGGAGGGAAGGGTCTAAAGCATTTCAACTGGTTTTACGAGAAAAAGGTACTTTCTCATCCAAGGTTCAATCCCTTTTGTCCTGGTCACTGTGGAGGTGGGTTTGGTTGATGCAAGTAGGGTGATTTTTGGTGCCTAGCAGAGGGAGCCTTGGCTGCTGTGCATTGCTGCCATCCCAGTGGATGCTGCTGCTGTTATACTAATACGGCCAGGCCTGCCTTGCAGGGATGTAATGCTCCAAGTGGCCAGCTTACCAAAGGGAACAAAGAAATTATTATAGGGCCAGGGAAAAATAAGGGAAAAAAAAACCCTAAAAGGAAACAAAGAGCCATTGAAAAGAGGCACAAATTAGTTAGGTCTCAAGTATCATTCCCCATCTGATAAAACAAAAATGTCCAGAGCAACAACTGACAAAAAATACGAGGGGTAGAATATCTCTGTTTAGCTCCAGGTACTGACTATACACAGAGATCTTTATTTCTCATGCTTTGGGTTATCTTAGGCCTTGGTTAATGTGGAGCTGTTTGGATGTGTGTGTGGTGTAGTTCCTGCAGGTTTGGGAGCTGCCTTTTTGTGGAAGGCAGCCGCCTGAAGGGAAGCAAAGG